TTAAGCAAATAATAACAGCATTACACAAAAAAATACAAAGATTAATGAAATCTATTGAAATATACCAACCTTCTTGAAGTGGACTTCGATTTCGGGCCAAACCGAAATGTTTGAAATCCCAAATCTCCTCTTTTACAACCCTATAAGCCTAAAAAAGATTGGGGATGAATATCCTTTAATATGTGACCATTCGAGGATTTCGAAAAAAAATTTGATCTCTCAAAAAATCTTCAAATCTAGTGTTTTACAAGTTGTTTCTCACTCTAAAGTTCACTAAAATTGTTTTTTGGGGCAAGAATGGCCCCCTGAATCCTTGGTCCCCCTTTTAAGGGGGTAAAATGACAGTTTTTGCCCCCTTTCGATTTTTTTTTGCCAAACTCATGCATGCCACCTAGGCGGCCTCCTTTGCCTGCCTTTTCGACCTCCTAGGAGGGTGCCTTGTTTTGGCCACCTAATAGTGTTTGCCTTAAGAATGCTTAGGTGTTTTCTTCAAAATTCCGCTTAGGTGGATAGGCGGATGACTTTTTGATCATTGATTGTGCCTTCTACTTCCCTTTCTACGCCATCTGTATTATACGCCCTAAAGTTTCCCTTTAGTTTATTATTTATGAGTAAATTAACCAAATGAGACTAGCTTTGTTTTATTGGGTAGAATGTTGGGAAGTCAAGAAACAACATATCCATAAAATGAGTGTAGTTGAGATGAAGATGTTGAGATGGGTGAGTGGTAAAACAAGAAGGGATAGTATTACTCGGGAGAATTTAGGTGTGGAACCAATGGGCAATAAGATGAGAAAAAGTAGACTTAGAGAATTTAGGTGTGGAACCAATAGGCAATAAGATGAAAGAAAGTAGACTTAGGTGGGCTGGTCATGTGTAGTGCAAACCCAGTATATATGTTAGGAGGTACAAGTTAGTTCAAGTGGAAGGCTAAAAAAGGGCAAGGGGTAGGCCCAAAAGGACATGGTTGGAAGTAGTGATAAAAGATATATGGAATTATGGCCTCACTGAGAGTATGACCCTTAATATAGCAGAATGACAGATCAAGATTCATGTAGCTGACGCTAATTACTTGGGAAAAGGCTCTGATGATGAAATTAACCCAAAGTGTTTGCTTTAGAGTGTGAAACTTGTCAATTGGGAAAACATTATAGGGTGTCATTTCGTCCTAGAGTCGACATACGTAGATTTTTCATTTATTGTGGTTCATTATATTATACGGGGTCCAGCGAGAGTGCAAAGTTTGTTTTGTAATTTCCATGGATGTTTATACACCAATGACATGGTTATATAAGGATGGGGTTTCTATGAGTCGGCTGACTCATATGTAGGTGTGCAGTCCCCACTAAAATTCATTGTAGATGA